TGAAAGAATTCGGAACCATCCCATGTTTGCATTGTCTTAGGGAAATGGGAATGGATAGGCTGGAGGAAAGATGGCACATGGAGAAAAGGATAAGTTCAGGTACCTACAGGGTTGCTGTGCTGATTAGGCTGCATATCTGGACCCCACGAGCATGCTTAGCAGCAGTAGGTAGAAGTCACAGGTACAGCTTTTGGTTCGATGGGAAAAAATCCCTGACAATGACTTGTCTAGAAAGGAAGCTGGTCATCCTGCATGGCTGGCTTCCTTATGAATGAATGCCTCCAAGAGGAGGCTGAATGGTCACTTGCTGGGGACATCATTGGTGCTTGGGCTCTCGTCTCAGTATGCCTTGGGTCGGGTGACCTCAGAAAGCCCCCTTCCCATCAGAGACATGACAATCCAAAAATAGGGTCCTGCCCTCCAGAGCTTCTAAACAGAGCCAAAGTCACACGGGGAGGAACACCGTCACGTAGGTGAGTTTTGATGAAAAGTGGGCTGAGTTATAATCTGATTCTTGATCCCTCCTTCCCCTCTGCCTGGCAGAGAGCTTGGTAAATGTTGCACCAGGGCACCATCAGTGACAGGTGAAAGCTAGATGGTCCGCATCTAGGATGCCCTTTGGCATCTGGCCACTTAGAAAAGCAATTCTGTCCAGTCAATCCAATTATTTTAGAACACTGAAATGCCACATCTGACATCGTTCAAAAATGTGCATTAACATTTCCTTCTGAGAGGCCAAGTGGTGAAAAATGAAAAGGGATCAGATACATACTGCCAGTAAATGGAAATACTGACTCTAAAGTGATTCAAATATTAGCTGAGAATCTTGTGGTCATCTCGTTAGGCCTTTAACATCTTTCAGTTAATTAGAATGATCTCCAAACCAAACTTCTGACAGGCAAACTCCTCACCATCAGAAGACCTGGCTTTATAATCCAAGTGATGCAAGGAACTCAGGGGAAATGGTATTTGAGAGAGGATTGTCTCAAACACCATCTCCCTGGGGTGATAAGACTTTATTACGCTGAAGGTCATTGACTCATAGGAAAAGACAATGGTCACACTGGATCACAGATTTCAACCTTTGAGACTATCTGGTCCGGGTGAGGAAACTGAGGCCCAGGAAAGTGACAAGCCTTGTCCAAGGTCCCACAGGTCACCCATGGTGGAGCTGAGATTCCAAGCCAGGTCCTCGGCCTCTCTGCTGCACGTAACAAGAAACTGAATCTGCTGATTTTGATGCACATTATTTTTATTTTGAGATAAAAATAAGTACAAAATATTCCATTCATGCACTTTGAAAATTAAGAACAGTGAACTTAAAAATACATTTAACAAATAATAAGCCCCTATTTTTCAGTTCTATATCATAGCGTGGGAAAAGAGATGAAAGGGAAGGAAGGGTTAAGACTAGACAGTCGCACAGCCCACGAGCAGAGAATAGTCATTCATTCGTTCATTCAACAAATATTTATGAAGAATCTACTCTGCTTCTTCCACTGAAGGGAGATACAAAGACACAATACGCCTTGGTCTTTGTCCTCCCGGAGTTTATGTTCTAGTAAGAGGCATGACAAATACACAAATGACTATAATAAGAAAAATAACGCATGACGAAGACATGAGAAGTGCAAAGGTGCTGGGTAAGAAATGGACAAGGGGACCATTACCAGCACTCGGGCAGGGGCGGGCAGTGAGCAGATGAAGGGCAGAGGACATCCCAGGTCTAGAGAGCAGCATAAGCCAAGGAAGAGAGATGGGAAAACATAGGGGTGACAGGTAGTTCTGTCTGGCTGGACCCAAACCGAGATGTGGTATGCAATGGCCGTGCCGTTGGTCTGGACCCTGACGGGGCCCGGAACCAGAGTGGACGTTGACAGCTCCCTGACTCATCTGAATGTTGTGTCAACAGACTCGTCCGACAGAGGAGCTCCTTGGGGGAGACATTTCTTTCTTTCTTTCTTTACTTGTATTTACTTTAGCAGGGCCTGGCCTTAGTGGGCACTTAGGAAAACATCTGTGATGGTTGGTTTGATCGGCCGATAAGGATTCAATATGCAAGGCCAAAAGGAGAGCAGGGAAGGTTCAAAGCCAGGCACTCAATAGTCAGGGAGGTCAAAGCCACAGCTCCAGGCTGGAAAAGAGGGTCTTAGTGGACCAAAGAATGAATCAAAGACAGACCTGGAAGGAGAGGATAGCGGGTAAGGAAGGATGAAAGCGCGTGATGCTTGGATACTACCATTTGCTTTGCCCCAAAGATGGGTGGGGGGCAGGAACATTCATTACACATACCTTCAGGTTAAGGAAACATACATGAAAGCTAGGGTGGTACTACATGGTAGAAGGTCCTGAATGCCGTGCTGAGGTGTCCAAATTCTATTTGGGAGCTTACCAATCCATCCACATGTTTGGAGAAGGAAAACATGAATGGATAGAGAGAGGGCTATAAAGAAAATGAATCTGGTAGGAGGAGGAGGAGTGGACGGGAGTGGGGGGCTACTGGAACATGCAGGCAGGTGAGTGTGAGGGCCCAGAGTAGAAGGGGGTAGGGGAAAGAAAGAAGAAGGGATGCATGATAGAACCATATAGAGGGAGAAGCATCATGTCAAGAAGGGACACACACACACTCACACATACACATACACACACATACACACCACACACACACGCACACACGCATACTCACACACACCACACACACTAACACACACACACACCACACACATATATATACACACCACACACACACACACTCACACACACCACACACTCACACACATATACACACACTCACACACCAGAAAAGAAAACAGAGGAGAGTCACAAGAAAGATTCACGGGGGAGAGCAGGCAGACAGGTTTGCATAGAGATACACCTGAGAAAAAGGAGGAGATGAGAAGAGATGGAGGCTCATCCGCACAGGACAGGCAGGTTTTGTGATGTCCCGACGTCCTGACATCCCATCCCCTCCCCCCTCCGGTGGCTCTGCGGGGCATTGCCACGATAAACTTCCCAAGCTAGGCAAAGGGGCTATCACCTTTGGGTACATGCGCCACTGGCTGGATGTGATTAAAGCTGATGGCGGGAATCGTCCTACTTCGGGCCTAAGTAATGTTTAACTGTAAATTTGTTTTTTTAAATAACTTTTGCTTCCTTGAAAGAAGCATAATAGAAATAAAAAATAGTTAATATAGTCGGTGCTGGTTTTCAATTCCTTAAAAAAGAGATCAGCAATGAACTTTTTACTGGACCTTTTTACATACTCCCCTCCCCACAGTGTGGGGTCTCTGGAGGGGTCGAGACGAGTGTAAACATGTCTACTTAGGAGTAAAATGGCTTTGAACATGTCACTTCAACCCCAAAGAGCTGGCAGGAAAACTTCTCTGGTTCCCAAATCCATTAAAGTTTAATTATGAACTGTGAGCCCCTATTACAAAATGGGGCCCTGGAAAAAGAGAATGGCGGCAGGCTGATTTCTCATACCTTGAAAACACAGAAAGTTCGTTTTTCAGGTTAGCACAGAATTTGCCTCTTTCAAGGAGAGGCGCTCGCACTAAACCACGAAGACCACTAAGGTTGTGTTTGTGTGTTTTTAAAGAATTGTTTTAACAACTTATGATGGCTCAGAGAGGTCTCAGCATTCTTTCCCTTTGACAGGGGAAGTTGGACAAACATCAGCTAACATAAGCCTCAGACGGCAAATGAAATCCATGCTACTGTAGCTTTATTGAACAGTGGTGCCTTTTCTGGATAGGAGCCTTCAGGCTGTAGGATTCAGTAGTGAACCAACTGTCTCCAATGTGGCCATCAGGTTCCATCCCCGCAAAGCAGGCACAAGGAGGTGAGAACGCTGCTTTCTCCAAAGAGAAGTGGAGTCCGAGTTCCAGTGGATCAACGTCCCTAGAGTTGATGTCTTCCTTCCTGCCTCCACCCAAAGACCCCCTCGCAGAGGTGAGCAGGCTCCAAGCCTGAGACCATCCCTAGGCTGCTTCTGCATGTGGCATGAGGTCTCCATCTCGCTAACTGAGGAGGCTTAGCTCCTGTCCACCTGGATGGTTCCATTCTGATTATTCCAGAAATGTGACAGGGGGAGAAAATTCTGGAAAAGAAAGGAGGGGAAGGGGCACTAAATAATTAAAAATTAAACAGCCTGGTCAATCTCAGCTGCAGAGGCAAGAATCCTAAGATTCAATGACCTGGGTCTACATCGGTAGCTCTTGACTTGGTGTCTACGAATATTCTTATTAAATTTACATTTTGATTTCTGTTATTTCAATATAATTGGTCTCCTTTGTAAGCCTTGTATTTTACTTCAGGCATTCAAAACCATCATACTGAGAAAGGGTCTGTCTGTGGGCTTCACCAGACTGGCTGCCCAAGGGGTCATGGTACAAAAAAGGAGAAAGGACCTTTGATCTAAGTGGAGAGGAGAGACGATGGGAAGTTGAGGTCCTCCTGGATGGCAAAGTCTTTTCCAATACTGGGAGAAAGGATCAGCCTCAGGTCTGCTGGGAGATGGGGAGCAGGGCTGCGGCTGGCAAAGGGTTTCCTCCTCTTACCTGGCTTGAGGGTCTGGGTGGCCAGGTGCCTCTGGTCGGGAAACACACTGCTCGAGTCCTGCTCGGCTGTTCTCTCCTCTGGGTCTAGCTCTGGGATGGTAGCACAACCACCTGGATGAAGAAGAAGAACAGAGCCTGAAGGGGGGCCCAGAACAGAGTCTGCCTTCCCACCGCCAGATAACAACACAGGTGAGAAGCGACGTGGCCAAATGGCACCAAATAAAAGCAACAAACAAGGACCCAGCTCTCTCTCCTTCCCTGCCCACCATGCGATGCTCAAGACAAAATGGCGCTGCCTCTGTATCCTAACTGATCACACAGACCATGGTTCCCATCACGTGGGGCCCCAGTATGGATTCTCTCCATGTAGATTACGGGAACCCCAAACGGGAACAGTGTAGCAGCAGCAGCAGCATCTGTTGGGGTCCCAGAAGGGTCCGCGGCAGCCTCTTCCCATCATGAGATTTTGTCCAAACTCCACAACTTTGTCCAGCATGTGCCCTAGGGACAGAACAGCAAGCCAGGGCGCCACAAAGTGAAAGATTTCAAGTCAGAGCTAAGTCCAAGAAAATGGGGTGCAAGAGTGCTTCTCTAACCCCCCCATAAAGGTCCTGGGGGGTTATGTGTAAAAAAATAAATAAAAGCCCACACCTTGAGAGAACTTTTGAATTTCCTCTGTGACCTGACTGGATCAGTTTGCCACCATCTCCTACATCTGGCAGACGTGAAGCAGGATTCTGGAGGAAGCGGGGACCTCAGCGACCACCTTGTGTGACCTGGATTTGAAAAGGAACTCCAATGACCCCATGTCCAACCCAGAGGTCTCCGAGCTCCTGCTGGAAGATTTCCAAGACGGAGGCATTCATGACAGCGCATCCCTCTCAGTCGTGGGAAGATTTTCCAGAATCCAAGCCCAAACGGAGCTCTTTGTAGCTCCCCTCAATGCTCCTGGTTCTGCTGGATGGGCCCAGGGAGAACACAGCTGACACCTCCTTCCTGGTTGTATTGACTCTACTCAACTGGAGTTTCTCCTCAGTGTCTTAAAAAACTAATTTCTTATTTCTGTTAAAGACTTTTACAAATTATTATTATTTTTTAAATGGAGTTAAGGAACTCCAAGTGAGGAAGCGCCCTTCAGCAACTGAGATCGGGTTCCGCTCTGGTCTCTTATAGTCTCCGACAGTTGCCAGAGCTACTGAAATGACTCACACAGTCAGATGGAGGTCAGAGAGGGCACTGTACTTGGGACCAGGGCTTCTTGATGCTGAGGCTGGCTCTGTATAAGACACGATCTTCCAGCTTCATTTCAGAAAAAAGTCTATCAGGCCACGCCTTGTTCTTTTGAAGGATCGTCTCCCTTCAATCAGAATGTCCTAATTTGCTGGATGCATATTCTGATACAATAGAAAGATTATTGACCAATTTTTCTTTCTTTCTTGTTGCTTAGAAAATCAAAGGAGATTCTAAAGGATAATTTATCCTTTCTTAATGCTTGAATAATTAGATGCATTCTTCTTGAGAGTTTTAAGTTTTGATGACAATACAGTGAAGTAGAAGGATCACATTCACTAGAAGGAAGCTGGCCTTCCTTTTCTCAGCTCTTGCTATTTCCTTGTAAAACGAGCTGGTGAAAATGTCTGGGCCCCATCATTTGGGGAATAAGTGGACGATCTGTGGCACCAGATTGTAATGGAATATTCCTACACCGAGAGGAACAATGAACGTGAGGCATGTGAAAATGGACGGGAAGACTTGTACACACTGGCCCAGGGCAGGAAAACAGGACCAAAGAACCAGGGGCTGCAGCCATTTAAACAAAGACAACACCGCTGGCCAAAGACAAGGGCCAGTGTTGGTTGCAAGAGACTGAGATCAGCACAACTTCCTTATTCTGTTAGGAAATGGTAAACTACCAGCATTGTCTATTGCAATCACTATGGTAACTGGTTTTGTTTAGCTGTAAAAAAAAAAACCATAACACTGTTAGGAGGAAAGTACCAAGGGGTGGGAGAGTATTGAACAAGAAGCGATTAAGTGCCTAAGAACAAATTGGATCAATTAAAGAAAAAACTGCCCTGGCCCTAAAATGAGCATAACTGATCTACACTGAAGTCTGCTTGGCAAAAATGAACAGAGATGTCAGTCTTTGAAGTGGGCATGCTGAACCAGTTACTGATGAAAGAAAGATCTTGGAATCCTACTGCAATTATTACACTGTCAGTTTCACCACCGGCACCACAGACAAGATGAATATTTTCCCAGGAGCTCTATGGCCAAATAATTAGCATCAATACCCCAAAACCCCAATGAATTTTAAGGAGATATATGATGAATGAAAAACAGGTAAAAGTGCTTTTCATCTGGTCCCTTTATCCTGACTTCCATTTTCTTCACTGAAAATGTTGATCCCAGGCTATCACCAGAGAATAGGGAAGGTGCTTGTCCTAGATGAGGTCTTGAGCACGCACAGCTGCAGATAAACACCAATAGTGTTTTCAATGACGCATCCAAGCCAATGGGCCTCTACTGAGTTAGAGGTCAAATACTCAGTACTTTCCAAATCCACAACTCTCCTGGCCCCCTCTCAAGCAGTGTTTCATAATATTAATCCAAACATCATGCTATTTCTTTCCCCAATAAAACTTCTAAAGAATGATTCTTAAGTTCTAACAATGTGCCATAAAATCTCTTCATGTAACAAGAAACCAACAGGTAAGTTGGCTACATGAAACTGGAGAAAATGTACAAAATATTGAAATGGGAAAGGAAGCTCCGCAGGCCACCTGACCTCAACAATATCTGCATGAAACTGGCGTGCGATGCTCAATCAACTAAGCACCTACTGTGTGCCAGGCTCCGTGCTGAGCACCGAGGATGCAAAAGAGGCCAAAGGGTAGCAGAATCCAGCAACGAAGCAGCAATGCGTTCCTGCCCTACAGAATTACACGCTTTCTGGTGGAAGGGCACCTCCGTGGCCATCTAGGCCAGTATGAACATGGACAAGAATGGCAACTGCAACACAGCAAAGCCTCTGCTTAAAGACTTCGGGGAAGAGGACCCCACTAACCCTATAGAGGCAGCCCACCTCATTTGGGGGCAGCTCTAAATATTGGGAAATCCGTTCCAACGTGGAACCCAAATCTCTTTTTTTTTGGCCTGGAGTCAGGAAGACCTGAGTTTAAATCCAGCCTCAGGCACTTCTGGCTGTGTGACCCTGGGCAAGTCACTTAACCCTGTTTGCCTCAGTTTCTTTACCTGTAAAATGGGATAATAATAGCCCCTATCCCACAGGGTTGCTGTAAGGATCAAATAAGATAATACTCACAAGGAACTCAGCACAGTGTTTATAAATGTTAGTTACTATTACTTTTTTCTCTGTATCCACGAATAGCATTCATTAAGCACTTCCGATATGGCAGGCCCCATGCTAAGGGCCAGGGATCCAGTGGGGCGAGTCAGTCCCTGCTGTCAAGGAGTTTACGCTCTGACAGAAACAACCGATAAAGAGAAGCAGTGGCCAGGGGATGGCATTCCGATTGGGGAAGTCACGGGAACAGGACAGCAGAAGTTTGGGGAAAAGTGTGGCAGAGAGATCTGGACTTTGGAGTCAGGAACATCTGAGCGCCATTCTCTCATCTGACTGTCTGTGTGACAATGGCCACGCTACTGGACCCTTCTAGGTCTCAGCTTCCTCATCTGTGAAATGAGGGAGTTGGACGGACGACCTCTCAGGTTCCCTCCAGCTCTCAGCCTCTAACCCTATGACCTCATGCTGAATGGAGCCTCAGGAAGTCAGCCGGCCCACTCTTTGTAGAAGCACTGATAGTACTGATCAGCTTCCTGCTCCCAGAACAAGAGACTGAAAGATGGGGAGGGGTGTGGCACATAGCAGTGGCAAGATGGAGGAGAAGCTGTCCACACAGGAGGGGACCTGCTACGAAGTATACGGTCTTGGGCACTGATTTCATTAAATAGCGTGATATTTGTTAGGATATGCCCTGTCTGTGGTTGCCCCATCAAGCTGACTGCATTAAGTCACCCTGGATATGACCTCAGAAGGTCCTGTGCTCTGGAGGGAACAGCATCAGGCTGGAGGGCCAGGCTATGGCCTGGATGGAAAGTAAGATTGGGTAAGGAATGGTGTGAAGCTTGGGGCCAGCTAGACCTCGTGGGCCACAGAGGCTGGCACTGATAACCTGACTGCTGCTCTGCTGGTCAGTATGGCACAACCCTAGGACAATGGTTCCAACGGAGGGTATTATTGCCTTCCACTGGTAAGGACAAAGCACTGTCTTCAAAGACAGACACAGAGACTCGGGTGGAAGAGGCAGCTTCACAGGGCAATGCACAGAACTCACGGGATGGACTGGGCACTTTAAGACATAGACTGGTTGTCCTTAAGTGGACTGGGAAAGAAGCCTTGAGTTGCGTCTTTGGAAAGTTGAACTTGGCAGTGGACCTGTATTCAAACAAGGCCCTCCCATTAATTCTATTTGTTCTTTACATCATGACTAACAGGAAAATGTGCTTAATATGAATGTATAAGTACAGTCCATATCATATTCCACACTGTCTTGGGGAGGGGGGAAAGTGAGACGGGGAAAAACTTAAAACTCAAAATCTTATGGAAACGAATGGTGAAAAATAAAAATTAATTATTTTTTTGAAAAACCAAACAAGCCCTTGTGAGAATGAGTCCACCTGTCCCAGGCTAGACGTTGGCCTTGGTTTCTTCCACGCCTGTCTCCCTGCACTTTCCAGTTCGGACACTGGCCGTCTGCCACGTGCTCCAGGCAGCCCCACTGCTTCCTGCTTCACTCCTATAGAATGTGAACGCAGTTTTCCTTTAGTTCGTGGGCTTTTCCACGTCTGTGCCAACATCACTTCTGAGCAGCCGTTCTTACTCCTGGTGCAGTCCTTTGCCTTCTCAGCCCACAAAGAGCCTCAGTCCTGGGGACGTTATTCTAACTGGGCCATTCGGCCCTGGTCCCTGCCTGTTTCCATCTTCAGTGTGTGTCTACAAAGGATAATTATAGAGGCACACTGTTAAATGTCTACGGGGCAGAGAGGATTTCCGCTGAATGCTGCCAAAACTTCAGGTACAAGTCTTGTTACTACAGTGAAAACACCACAAACAGACACTATATTGAGGAAATAAGTGAGCCTGGGCCATAATTGAAGTCATCAGCCATCTCTCTTGACAAATAAGCCCAACAGAGGCGAGATTCTAACACATTAGGTGCCTGTTTATCGAAAAGGGATTTCCTCAGTAGTTCGTGTGAGACATTAAGGGCCGATTGATTCCTCTCCTAGACAGTATGACGAGAAAATATAGCTGCTCAGAAAAATGATTTAATGTGCTGATTATGATGGGCATCAGGGGAAAAAAAAATGGAATGTAGCCTCCTTCAATGGGGGCTTTTAAAATCTAGACAAAAGAGAAGAGAAGAAATACTCTCCGGGAAAGAAAGAGGAGACAGGCTAGAGTCTGTGAATTCAATTCAATAAACTAAACATTAAGTTTAACATAAAGTTCCTACTATGTGCTGGGAACTGTCTTGGTCTCAAGATGTTTACAACATGATGAGGGTGGGAGTGGGGAGGAAAAGCACATGAATAATCATGATGAAAGGGACAGTAAAAATAAATGGCAAAGAAATAGGAAACTGAGAAAGAATATTTCTCTCGCCTGGAGAAACCTAGAAGGCTTCACGAAGGTGAGCCTTGAAGGAAAGGAAGGATTTCGGCCAATGGAGGAGGAGAGTGAAGGAAGAGG